TGATTAATTGTTGGTGTGTGATGTTTGAGAATGATTTGAAAGGCTTATTGATTAATTGTTGATATTGTATCACGGTTGTATTGTTGTGAATTGTGCATTGTTATGAAAATAGTCATCTCTTCATTATTTGTGTGAACATGTCATTTGCATTTGTTCTGAGACATGGTTGTGATAAGTGTTATGTGATAAAAGGATGTACCATTTCGAGGGACGTATCGCGCGCCGCGATGGATACTATATATCGAGGGACGTATCGCACGCCGCGATAGATACTTTATATTGAGGGTCGTATCGTACGCCGTGATGGATGCATGGACAGATATGTCCCCTATGGGTCCCGGACTGAGAGACAGCGGGTGTGTATCGTTAGGTCAAACATGCATCACTATACTTGACATTGCAAATCATTGCATTGCACATATTTATCATTGATGAACTTGATCTTGTGTGTTATTGGTCTTGTGAGTGCCTTTCTGTGGAAGTTGTGATTGATGAATATTGAGTTTGTTGTTGAGGATATGTAATTGTTAGAGTGTTGTTTTCTGAGTTGTGTGTTGTGTAAATTGTGAACTGTTAGGTTGGGCTAGTTTTATTGCAGGTTGTAGTTCTGGAGGTTCAGATTGGTACTCACTCACCCATTGATTCTACATTTTTGTAGGTTATGAGCCCGGAACTTTGTGATACTCTCTATTCTCCTATTTTTCGAAGCTTCTTGTGGAGGTTTGTGACGTAGCTGCTCGTCATTTCAACAGACCTTCTTACTTTTATGCATGATCTTGTTCTATTCGAGAAACAATGCCATTTGAGACTTTTATCTTTCTTTCGATTCAATTGTAATACTTTAGAAGCTTGTCCATGTGACTACCAGGTTTTGGGATTTAATTTTGAGTTGATTATGATTTCCCCATTAGTAGATGGTGTTAGTTTCTTTTTCTTGTTTTTACTTTCGCATTCATCGTGTTAATTAGGTATTAGGCTGACTTGTCTTGGTGGGATAAGACGACTGTCATCACGTCCGTTTTTGGGTTGTGACAATGTAGGGCTGGCAGGCCCAAATTTTCTCCTCCTGTCCTAATTCTAAATAGTTCAAAAAATTTCCCATTGCACTTTGTTTTGGGCCTGACCATTCTTCCACTTAGCCTAAATACTAAAATAAAGGGCTACACCATTGTTGGGCTTTTGGCCCAATTTCCCTGTCCTAAAACTATCAAAATCCTACACAAATGTATGGGTCTTTGGCCCAACTTCATCAAAAGAACAAGCTGCTGTAATTTGGGGCTTTTGGCCTCATTTTCGTGACCATATACAGTGTATACAACTGCTATATCACACTGTATACCAGTGTTTTGGACGGCGAAAGGCGACAAAAGGTGACAAGTGCCTGCCTCGCCTCGCGGCGAGCCGCTCGCCTTTTTGAATTGAGGTGCCAATTAATACCAAATATTTACAATATTTAATTGCATATATAAATATCCAAAATCTCAATAGAAATATATTATCAAATATTTCAATTCAAAAACTAATAGTAGATACTAAAAGTCTAGAACTTGAATAACTCAATAATTCAAAGGCAATTGACAAGCAATACTAGAACTCTAAAAGTCTATTCTTCTTCACTATTTATGGACAAATAAATACTATATTAATTAGTAGAAAACTAAATTAAGTAGGGTAGAAATAAATATTGAAAGATTGAATTTTTTTTTTAAAAAAAAATATAGACAGAAACATAATGGTAGCCGCAGTCAGTTCATTGTTCAGTAGCTCCAAAATAAAAAAGAAAAACAGAGCATGCCACTACCACTGGAAAATAGAGTAGATAATAAGAGAAGAAGAAGAAGAATATAAGAAGAACAAAATAAGAAGAAGAGGAGAATAATTAAAGAAGAAGAACATACCTAAGTCGCGATTGAAGAGGAAAATAGAATAGCGATGGTCGCAATGGAGAGAAGAAGAGCCCAAGTTTGCAAAAACACCAAAAAAACCCCTAATTTTGCCTATTAATTATTAAATCACACTCTTTAAAATAAAAAGGTAACACCTATCGCTCACCTCACCTCGTCATCTCTCGCCTTTCGGGCATTAGGGCATATTTTGGGGGGGGGGGGGGGATACAGGTAGAATTTGAATTCAAAATTTGAAATTCCAAAGGGGTAAGGGACGAGCTGGAATTTGTACCAATCTCCGAATGGAAAAACGAAATGGGTCGTCTGATTTTCGAGCAAAGACGAGTGAGATGCGGAGATGGAGACACCTGGATCGATTCTCGAACGATATCATACAATTTTCGGAGAAAAGGGACGCGATAAGCTGCTCACGAAAATGGGCTCAATTTCGCTGCTGGACTTGCGATTCTGGACTTTGTTTCAATTTTAAGGTTCTGGGTTTTCAGAGTTCTGCTTGTGAGTTCGCTGGGACTTCCTAGAGCTTTTGAAATTTCTGGAAGAAGAAGACACGCAGGGGGTCGGGTATTGTCGTTGGAATTTAAGTTGTTGATCAGTATGTTTGGATGACTTGACTGCTGTTGTATGTTGTATTGGATTGTTAGTGGTCTTGGGTTATTTGATGTTGGGCTAGGAAGAAGTGAATTGCGTTGAGGGAAAATTAAATTGGGCTGCTGAAATTTAAAGAAAAATGGCCCAAAGCTTGTTCATTTGATGGGTTTAAGATGTTGGCGGAAAATTATAATTAAACAATAAACCTAATTCTGTTAAAACTTGAACAAAATGAATTAACATAAATTAATTAATGAGCCTCTTAATCTTAACGAAATAAAATAATAAACCTAATTATAAAGTAATTAATTTAAAAATATAAACTATTATATAAATAAACTAATTAACCAAATATTTAATTAAAACAAAATAATTTTGAGACGATTTTTGAATAATCATAAAATATAATAATTATATACATAATTATGTAAAACATATATATTATCTAAAAATTATAAAAAGTGACAAAACTTGTTAAAATAACTTTCAAACTATATTATTATTATTATTTTGAAATTTTATAAAAATAATTATTTTAAATCGTTTGAAATTGAAGAAGCTCGAAATGATTAATTTATATTGTGGAGGTCCAAAATTGTTTGTCAACAACTGTCCCTCGTTTGACTTGGAATGATGAAAGAAATTCGATGCAAATGAAATTGACGAATCCAATTTTAACAGACCATATATTCATCCTTCAGCATAAGGACGTTTGGTACGGACTTTAGGAATTATTGCCGAACCCTGAAGATAAGTTTCCTACATATCTCAGGCTTTATGAGAACTCAGGCCACTTGTAGTTCCATAAGCTTGATTTGACACACGATTTTTAAAGAACTCAAAAGTCATCTCGATATAGAATTATGAAGAGACTGGAACACTTGGGAATAAGATTTGAGAGCAAATGTTGGAATACAGCTGAGTTTCCAACCTTGAGTCTGCCTACATATCCTTAAGCCTAAGGAACCGGGTTATTTGTTGTTCAACTCGATCAGTTGAAAAACAAATCTATTATGCTAGATAACTTTCGATTTTGGAAGAGTGACAAATAAGTTGAGAAAGAAAAACAAGCTTGCAACCTCTTAGCCATTAATATGGAGCTCTTCACATCCATCAGTAAGAACTTACACTGACATAATTTACAAAGCTCTTGGCGCATTGTCACTGAGATTGGAAAGTTGCTTCAGACGAAAACCAAAATTTTTCGAATGCGAAATCGAAACCGATAAACCGTAAGAAAAACCCACATGTCTTCTAATAGGGGTGTCGTTTGATTGTGGTGGAAGTCGCTCCTCAGCTCGCGTCCTAAGAGTTTGATACTCCTATTCAGACTATGTCCTAGTTCGCTGCAAAGAAAAAGTTCCACGTTGTACTACATCCTTGTTGATGTCGTACGCACCTGTGGTTTGATTTGAGAATTCTTCCTCTTGGATGCCCTCGACAAAGACTGAAATAAACTTGTTAGTAGAAACTGTCGTTGGAAAAAGTGGTAGCATCTCTTACTATACTTTTCACTTATCTTCTTGCATGTTCTTCTGGATACGCCATTGTCTTGGTGTTTTAAAAATAACTCTTGCATTGAAAGATGTCATATAGGTATGTTCAGTATATGTCTGCACACTCAAAGTAAATAATTAGTAAACATAGTGCCTCTTTGGCTAGCGACTTGGGTCAAATAAAGAAAGATCATTCATATAATAAAAGAGTATATCTTTATGGATAAGCATAAACATCTTTTCCAACTAGATTAGAAAATAAAGAAGTATTGAGACTAAAAGCTAATGGATACCGCCTTCGAACACCTTATGTCCATTACAACTCATAATTTGTTGAAGTTTTGGAAACGTCGTTGTTTGTTTTCTGCGTGGCTAACTCCGGTGATCACTGCAACGAACTAAATGGCTTGACAATAATCCAACTGTAACGAGGTGGATACTCGATAATATTCCACCAGTAACGAGATGGATGACTCGATAATATTCCAACTATAACGAGGTGGATGACTCGAAAATATTCCAACTGTAACGAGGTGGAAGGCTCGATAATACTCCAACTATAACGAGGTAGATGACTCGATAATATTCCAATTGTAAGGAGGTGGATGGCTCGATAATATTCCAAATGTAACGAGGTGGATAGCTAGATAATATTCCAACTGTAACGAGATGGATGGCTCGATAATATTTCAATTGTAACGAGGTGGATGGCTCGATAATATTTCAATCGTAACGAGGTGGATGGCTCGATAATATTCCAACTGTAACGAGGTGGATGGCTCGATAATATTCCAATCGTAACGAGTTGGATGGCTCGATAATATTTCAACTGTAACGAGGTGGATGGCTCGATAATATTCCAACTATAACGAGGTGGATGGCTCGATAATATTCCAAATGTAATGAGGTGGATGACTTGATAGTATTCCAACTGTAACGAGGTGGATGGCAAGATAAAATTCCAACTGTATCAAGGTGGATGAATCGATAATATTCCAACTATAACGAGGTGCATGGCTCGATAATATTCCAACTGTAACGAGGTGGATGGCTCGATAATAGTCCAACTGTAACGAGGTGGATGGCTCGATAATAGTCCAACTGTAACGAGGTGGATGACTCGACAGTATTCCAACTGTAACGAAATGGATGGCTCGATAATATTCCAATTGTAACGAGGTGGATCGCTTAATAATATTCCAACAGTAATGAGGTGGATAGCTCGATAATATTCCAACAGTAACGAGGTGGATGTATTGATAATATTCCAACTGTAAGGAGGTCGATTGCTTGATAATATTCCAACTGTAATGAGGTGGATGGCTCGATAATATTCCAACTATAATGAGGTGGTTGGCTCGATAATAGTCCAACTATAACGAGGTGGATGACTCGATAATATTCAAACTATGACGAGTTGGATGACTCGATAATATTCCAATTGTAACGATGTGGATAACTCGATAATATTCCAATTGTAATGAGGTGGATGGCTCGATAATATTCCAATTGTAACGAGGTGGATGGCTAAAAAATATTCCAACTGTAACGAGGTGGATTACTCGATAATATTCCAACTGTAAGGAGGTGGATGACTCGATAATATTCCAACTGTAACGAGGTGGATGGCTCGATAATATTCCAACTGTAATGAGGTGGATGACTCGATAATATCCAACTGTAACGAGGTGTATTGCTCGATAATATTCCAACTGTAACTAGGGGGATGACTCGATAATATTCCAACTATAACGAGGTGAATGGCTCGATAATATTCAAACTGTAACAAGGTGGATGCCTCGATAATTTTCCAACTGTAACGAAATTGACGGCTCCATAATATTCCAACCGTAACAAAGTGAATGGCTCGATAATAGTCCAACTGTAACGAGGTGAATGACTCGATAATATTCCAACTGTAATAAGGTGGATGGCTTAATAATATTTCAAATGTAACAAGGTGGATGGCTTGATAATATTTCAACCGTAACGTGGTGGGTGACTCGATAATATTCCAACTGTATTGAGGTGGATGACTTGATAGTATTCCAACTGTAACGAGGTGGATGGCAAGATAAAATTCCAACTGTATCAAGGTGGATGACTCGATAATATTCCAACTATAACGAGGTGCATGGCTCGATAATATTCCAACTGTAACGAGGTGGATGGCTCGATAATAGTCCAACTGTAACGAGGTGGATGGCTCGATAATAGTCCAACTGTAACGAGGTGGATGACTCGACAGTATTCCAACTGTAACGAAATGGATGGCTCGATAATATTCCAATTGTAACGAGGTGGATCGCTTAATAATATTCCAACAGTAATGAGGTGGATAGCTCGATAATATTCCAACAGTAACGAGGTGGATGTATTGATAATATTCCAACTGTAAGGAGGTCGATTGCTTGATAATATTCCAACTGTAATGAGGTGGATGGCTCGATAATATTCCAACTATAATGAGGTGGTTGGCTCGATAATAGTCCAACTATAACGAGGTGGATGACTCGATAATATTCAAACTATGACGAGTTGGATGACTCGATAATATTCCAATTGTAACGATGTGGATAACTCGATAATATTCCAATTGTAATGAGGTGGATGGCTCGATAATATTCCAATTGTAACGAGGTGGATGGCTAAAAAATATTCCAACTGTAACGAGGTGGATTACTCGATAATATTCCAACTGTAAGGAGGTGGATGACTCGATAATATTCCAACTGTAACGAGGTGGATGGCTCGATAATATTCCAACTGTAATGAGGTGGATGACTCGATAATATCCAACTGTAACGAGGTGTATTGCTCGATAATATTCCAACTGTAACTAGGGGGATGACTCGATAATATTCCAACTATAACGAGGTGAATGGCTCGATAATATTCAAACTGTAACAAGGTGGATGCCTCGATAATTTTCCAACTGTAACGAAATTGACGGCTCCATAATATTCCAACCGTAACAAAGTGAATGGCTCGATAATAGTCCAACTGTAACGAGGTGAATGACTCGATAATATTCCAACTGTAATAAGGTGGATGGCTTAATAATATTTCAAATGTAACAAGGTGGATGGCTTGATAATATTTCAACCGTAACGTGGTGGGTGACTCGATAATATTCCAACTGTATTGAGGTGGATGACTCGATAATATTCCAACTGTAACGAGGTGGGTGACTTGATAATATTCCAACTGTAATGAGGTGGATGACTCGATAATATTCCAACTATAACGAGGTGGATGACTCGATAATATTCCAACTGTAACGAGGTAGATGGTTCGATAATAATCCAACTGTAACGGGGTGGATACTCAATAATTATCCAACATAGTTCAAAATAGAAACCTGAAATAGACAAACAAATATACGAACCACTTATGGGGTGGATTGCCCAACAAAATTATATACTAAAATCTTTGATTAGCCAATCAAAACATATAATCCACTTATGGGGTGGATACCAAACAAATTTTGAAATCTTGACCCTGACATTGTCAAGAAACACGTCTGCCTAAATTGCTATGTGACAATCATACTAAAAAAAATTATATCGACGTATATGCACGTCGCGACTATGACTCTGCCTTTAAAGAAATAGAATTATCGATGTGAATGACTTAATTCTTTCACACAAAAATTAAAGTCACTCCCGTCTTCCTTGACAAACTCAACAAAATTTGAGTTTGTTGTCGACTTCTTCAATTATTGTCGAAAACTTCTAACTTTTCGATAACTACAACTGTCATGAGGATATTGTGATCTCCAACATTTTTTCTGATGTGATAGACTTGGTGATTTTACCTTGCAACACTTCTAAGATAGTGTCGTTTTTTATCATATTCAGATATAATGTCGATTTCACAGATTATCCTGACTTTACCAATACTATCACATGCAAAGCTTGACACCAAACAATAGTATCGATGATGAAGTAAAAAATAAAATTAAAGAGAAAGTGCTAGATTAAGTAATTCGTCTTATCAAGAATAGGTTGTGGTGAGCCTAATTGTGACAATGATTGTGACTCGTCACTAGTGATCCTCCAACACGTTGTTCCTTAAAACTTTGAAAGAATCTATTAACGTTTGTCTTCAATATTCCTGCAAAATAAAAAGAAACTGCTTATAAATCACTTGAGGCAACATAATGAAATAAAGATAAATGAGATGGAAAGTTTTCTAAGTTATCTTGATGAGGCCACGATAGGTGTAAATGACGCCTTTTTCACACTTGATATATAGCTTTACATTGCCATTTATGTGACTTTGATGTTCCTATATCTAAAGAAAAATTCTTAGTTTGAAAGACTGATTTGTGTTGGTCTTGTCTTCATGCTCCTTCATGCAGTTGGCTTACACGCTCGTCCGTCCTTTGTAAGATAGTCTTGATGGAATTTTTTGCGTCCCTCCTTAAAAATTCTGCCCTAGTCTAAAATATGGAAAAACTCTTATAACTTGCTTTGTTAATTATGAGGTTTCTCATTCTGGAACTTTAAGGTCCCTTCTCAAAATTTTGTTCCAGTTTGCCTCGATGATAATAAGTATAAGTGTTTTAACAAATGACATTTTTGTGGAATTTTTGAGATGATCTCAAATATTATGTCCCAGTTGAACATTTCAACATGATTTCCAACTTGATTCTCTATAAAATGCCATCTTGTGGAATTTTGATATCCACTCAGAAAACCTACCCAGTTGCATTTTGATCTTCAGTCTTGATTTGCTGAAGAAGTCTATCTTCAAATGAATTTTTGAGAGGATCTCAAAAATTCTGTCCTAGTTTCCATTATAAAAGAAATAGAAATCTTACGAGAAATATGACCGAGCTGTTGTGGTGCCTAGGTATCCCGTTGAGGCAGGAATCAGGTCAAACGTAGTTTCTCTCTCGAGGACTAACAAAAATAAGAAATTTTGATAAGGAAACGATCGAGGCCGACACAGGTCACCTACGTATCTCATTCTTAAGAATTCAGGTCGAACGTAGTTCAAGTACAAAGAAAAATATTAAAAGTTGAATAAAGGGATGACTCATGCCGACACATGCCGCCTACGTATCTCATTCTTTAGAATTCAGGTCATATGTAATTCATGTATAAAGAATGTGCGATAAAATGGGAAGAAAGAGACTAAATATGCATTTTCAAAAGAAAGATAACAATAACGTCATATGCAAAATCCGGCCAATATTGGCATACTTCTTTTCAACCTTTGATGATGAATATCTTCAAAAGACTTAGTTCATAAATGTCTTGCACTTACTCTTAAGCATCCAATATGTTATCCCTTGAGGTTGTTTCCTCAATATTGATCAAATTGTTGTTGATCCTGTTTTGAATCTTGTGCTTGAGGGTCGAACAATTCTCTGTATCGTGTCCAACAACTCCTGAATGATAAGCACATAGGTGGTCAACTCCATAAAATTTTCCCAAAGGATTGACTAGTCTTCCTTCTATGGGATGGAGTATACCCGTTGCTTTCAACCTTTCATAAAGTTGAGTTTGAGATTCCTTTAATGGTGTAAACGTCTTAGGAGCCTTCCTAAAGTTTGGACGGGGAAATTTTTTCTGATTGACATTGTGGTTTCGATAATTTCTTTGTGGAGCCAACCGCATATGGGTAGCCATGACAACGTATACCTCTTCTTCTTTTCCCTTTGATATATCCATATCACTAATTCTGGTAGCTTTTCCATTAGCTCGCAATGCGGTAAGAATTATGACTTTTCCAGTCTTGAAACTATCATCCAAAGTTTCTCCAACCTTCACGGTCTCAACAAATTTTTGTCCCATCATACACAACATTCTTTCATAGTACTTAGGATTTTGAGTTCGAATAAACATTTCAGTGATCTCACGTTCAGACATGGGCGGTTGAACTCTTGCAGCCTCTTTTCTCCAACGAAGAGCGTACTCTCGATAGTTTTCTGTGGACTTCGGTTTGATCTTCTCCAAATAGTAGCGATCAGGGGCAACTTCTACATTATGTCCAAATCTTTCAGTGAAATCCTTTGCGAGTGCATTCCAACTCGTCCATTGTTTTAATTCTTATGATGTAAGCCACTCTAGAGCTTCTCCATTTAGACTTCGACTGAAGAGACACATCAACAATGCTTCATTTTTGCCAACTCCCACAAGTTGATCACAATAAACTTTCAGATGTATTAGAGGATTTCTAATTCCATTAGAAGTGATGAACTTTGGCAGTTTGAAACCTTTTGAAAGGTCCAAATCCGGATGAATGCATAAATTTTTGTAGTTCAACCCCACAAAATCTGAAGAGTAATGAAGTTCTTTTATCACTTCCCCAATCTCTTCCTTCATGATTTGCTTAGTCATTTCCTCTATGCCTCTCCACTCCTCCTTCTTCTCTTCGTAGTGGTCAAGTTTGGAATAGGCAGTATAGTGAAGGTGTGGTTCGATTTGCACTGGGATATCAAAAGTGACTTTTGGAGGTAAGGGTTGAGCATTTGGTAGATTTTGAATGCCTTTTGCTGGTGGCTAGAACATAAAAGGGGATGTTTGAGGATTGTTGACATTTAGGAGTTGAAATGGAGGGAATGTTTGAGAGTTGTTAGCATTTTGATTATGAGAGGGATGGAAGACTAGAGGGTTGGTATTCAGGGTTTAAAGAGGAGGTGGTGCTTGGTATGAAGTGCTGGTGTGATGAAGATTTAGGGTAGTTAAGTCGATAGTTAGGGATTTTGAGCAGGGTTGGAGGGTGGGTTATTCAGGACATGTTCTGAGTCTGAATTTTGAGGAGGAAAATGGAGTGGAAGCTTTCCATGGCCTAGAATGTTAACATCGACAATGGGAATTGGCAAATCTTGCTTTTTCTAGAGCTCAATCTTCATTTCAGCAATTTGTTGCATCAACTGTGAAATTAACTTATTTTGATCAACAACAAGGAGATGAACTATAACAACTTCAGTCAGGTCAGTATTATCACTATTTTGGTCATTTTTCCTTTTAACAAATTTCGATTGAGGGAGGAATCTTTGAGAACTTTGAATGTTCAACTAATTTCTCAATACAAATCAGTTTTGAGAACCTGACAAAGAAAAATAACTCAAAAGACAAATGTGTTAGTTTGTATAAGTAATAGGTAATACAAGATATCACACTCGAAGATAATCTAACCCACAGATATAGGAGATTACTAAATAGACAGAAATTTGTCCATTTGATTTTGGAATTAGTGAATTAGTAACGTCGACTTGAGTCGAGACAAAGTCGATTGTATTGTCGTACTTTTGATTTTCGATTGACATGTAACTCTAATTTCCTTGTAAGAGTTGAAAAATATAGGATTTCTCTAAAATAGGGACCGAGCCTTGAAAGGTTGCTTACGTATCTCATGAAGGAGAATTCAAGTCCTACGTAGTTCGACCAACTTGAATCTCTTTCGATTTGGGATGAAGGGTTAACTTTTTTTTTTTAAATGAGAAAGTAAGATTTGAAAAAGAAATTTGAATTTTGTTGGGAAACTAAAGACTCGAAGAGTATTTCGACGCACTTTTGATAGTGACTAGATATTTATGCTTAGGGGGTTCTAAAAATAATTCGAAGAGGAGTGAGCTAGAATATCTCCAAATAAAGCAACATATTCACATAAGCAATTATAACACATAAATAGATATTGTGCAATGGTAATTTGGTTGGAAGGTCCTTCGTTTTTGAGCTTCTTGTCATCTCTAAATGACAACCTCTTTAGATGCAATGGTAATTTGGTTCTTCTTTAAGTTGAACAAACAATTAAACTCTCATCCCCA